CCTGTTAATTATGTCTCTCTCATCAGATGTGATATCTATCATCATGTCTCTCTCATCACATGTGATACCTGTCATCATGTCTCTCTCATCACATGTGATACCTGTCATATCTCTCTCATCACATGTGATACCTGTCATGTCTCTTGTTACCCAATGCAGTGTCCATCATCATGCAGATCTCCAGCTACCAGGGACGACGATTATCATCAGTCTTCCTGTAAAATGCAGACTGTAAGAACAAACAAATAAATCTAACCAGTTCTTATTACATTTCCTCCCACAAGTCCGTAACAGTATGCATATATGGAGTCATAACATCTTTTACAGCACGGTTTATCCTAAAACTATCAAAATCTTTAAATATCAAATTTATCTGCAAGGACTAACTGTAATGTTTACTGAATACATTGAAACTGGTAGGTATTGGTAGAATTATTGCTGCCTTTATTGATACACGATCACAGGCAGCAGTTGTATATTGATATTGATGGTGCGTGTGTAAGGCTAATTAGTAATTGATTGTAATGAAGACATTAGGTCGTGATTGGTACAACGATAACTCCTATCCATTAAAAATTTGGATTTATGACACAGAAGGTAGATATAAAATCCACCTATATCTTCAGGTTATCATCAGTTGTACAGCAGGTAAAAGTAAAGACTGCCTTGTAATTCATGAGAACATTGACACAAACCGTGATAAACTTAAACTGGTTAAAAGCTGTTAAAACAAAACTTAGTTTGGTATGGTATAAACAGATTCCTGAATATCTCTGAATGTAGGCCAAACCTCGGATTTTAACCCACATATATAATGAAACTGACCAATGCCAGTTCTATAGTATCACTTTATTTGACTGCGCTCATAAACTATTAAAAATTCAGCTTCCTGCTATTCACAAAGATTGCTGGACATACCAAATGTTAAGCATGCAGATTAAAAATTCTGCATCATCTCCAACAAATGATGATAATAAAAAAATAAAATTTGGTCGGAACTGTCTTAGGATTCTTCTTTCCACTTGTGGAACTTTTGAAACCTGCTTTGTTCAGAAAAAACTAGGATCTCTAATCATGTTACACAACAGGCACCATGGCAGCTTTCTCCAGCATTTTTACCAAGTAAAAAGGTATAAAAACACCTTTTCACCATTATTTCCTTGATCCTCATCAATTTGCATGTCAATTTACTCATAAATTTGAAAACTCTGAGAAATCTGAAATGTGTTTTTCAAGATGGCAGCCATAATGGCCATATTGTTTTAATTTTAGACTGATCCCAAATTCACACCTTGTCAAAGCCAACTTAGATTCAGGCAAAGTTTTTTTCAAAATCCCAACATTGGATCCTGAGATAACATTCAAAATAGCTGTTGTTCAGGGCAACCATGACTGGACAATCACGCATGGCTGCTGTGCTGCCATGTTTGAATTTTGACCAGGCCAACAAATATTACACACAATGTCTGAATCCTTTCTGTAACATTCCTACCTATTTTCAGCTCATTGGAATCTTGTGTGTAGTAAAATGCACACTGTTATTTCACAAACGATCTTCCATTGTAAATAGCAACATCACAATATGCTGCTCCTCATTAGTGGTAAATTACTCGAAATTACATGAAAACTTTGTTTGCCATCAACCTCGGTTCCTGCTCATAGCAATAAAAAACTTATGTGAAAAGGAGTTCACATTGACCTGGTACTTTATATGGTAATTTAATTTTGATCTGAAATTAGAAAGGCCTGAATATTTATATCAATACTGCTCATTTTGATCAGTTTTAGGAAAAATCAAAAATAGAAATAAATAAATGTATTTAAAAAATCACACCCTTGTTTACATGCTTGGTGATATTAATGTACTGTAATAGTAGAACTTCACCTAATGTTGGTCTATTATGTTTCGAATATTGTTTAGATATATTATAGACGAAAACTTGATTACAAAACATATATTTTATTTACAAAACATAAAAATAATCTCCAGGAACACTGGTATTATTAAATATCAATTTTGTTGTTGTATGATGTGTCTTTATACTGTTAAAATGAATGATTTATATTGTGCAAGGATCCCTTAATGTTCTGTGTTGATGCATGCCTAATTAGGATGTATAATCTTAGATTTTTACTCCCCCCACCCCCCCCCACCCTTAAAAAAAACTTCTTAAAAAAAACCACTCTTCATTATCTCTTTAACTCCGTCTGTAAATTGTAAAATAACTATAATATCATAATATATATTATCTGGCTGTGGCGACAATGAATCCCATAACATCAATGAATGATTCTGTTTCTAAATCATCACCTTGTACTACATCATCATATAACACTATTTTAATAGTAATTATTAAAATAATAAATACAATTTGTCAACATTTCAGTACAATGTTACAATTATTTTACCCAAATTAGATATCGTCATGTCTGAACTTGACTTTGATATCAGAACAATTTCTAAACCATGGTTAAACTCTGCAATAGAGACTTTGATGAAATGCAATTTAGTAAATACCAGCCATCCATTTTAAATAGCTGACAAAATTGTACAAGGGAGATATACCAGGCAGCAGTGCATTACTGTGAACAATAATAAAAATATACTGCGACGTAACAATATGGAACTTTTTAATCCGGAATGTTTGTGACTACAATTTAGTTTTAAGAATACTGATTAACTGGTTGGAACTTTCAAGCTTTGGTGGCAATAGGCACAAGTATTGGTAACATTCTCATAACAGGGAATTTGAATGAAAACATGCCGAATACAACAGACACAAACAGACCTAAATGATTTCGTCAGTTTTCACTGATGGTGAATGAACCTTCTAACTGAATTATCTTCTTCGCTTGATATCTCTACTGCTATAACAACAATGTAGGCTTACTTATAAAAGGTTGACGTTGGTGAATCACAACGTAGGCTTACTTATAAAAGGTTGATGTCGGTGAATCACAATGTAGGCTTACTTATAAAAGGTTGATGTTGGTGAATCACAACGTAGGCTTACTTATAAAAGGTTGATGTTGGTGAATCACAACGTAGGCTTACTTATAAAAGGTTGATGTTGGTGAATCACAACGTAGGCTTACTTATAAAAGGTTGATGTCGGTGAATCACAACGTAGGCTTACTTATAAAAGGTTGATGTTGGTGAATCACAACGTAGGCTTACTTATAAAAGGTTGATGTTGGTGAATCACAATGTAGGCTTACTTATAAAAGGTTGAAGTTGGTGAATCACAACGTAGGCTTACTTATAAAAGGTTGATGTTGGTGAATCACAATGTAGGCTTACTTATAAAAGGTTGATGTTGGTGAATCCTACCAGCTATTGACAGATACCACAATCCTATATATATTCCTAAATTATCACCTGTTCAATAACAAACTTGGCAAAGTTAAATGGTTGTTTAATATATAACATATTACTTTGTGTTTCTTTTCACAGCAACTGATAGGGTTTGAGAATTACTAAACACTCAAATTACTGGCAATGTCAGGGAATCTGAATAAATGGTTTGAAAGTTATTTGAAAAATAGCAAGCAAAGAGTAGTCATGAGAGGAGGGTGGGGTTTCAGATTTTAAAAGTATTGTGGCCGGTGTTCCTCAAGGATCAACACTTTGGTTACTGTTATTTCTTGGTTATGTCAAAATCATTGTTGATCCCAGGTCCAAGTTTCATTAGCAACACATCTCTTTATATTATACTGAGTGATTCAAATGCAGCTAGAATTATGATAAATAGGGAATCAGATACAACATAAGAATGGGTATATAAACAGTTCGTTACCGAGTCAACAACAAATTTAATTGACCTGGTTGTGCCTTTGAAAATTTCAGAGAACCACATACACGATACAAGAATATCTCACCAATACCAAACTCTTCACATAGGAACAAATCTATATCTGGAATATGTTTCATCTTCATCAATCCGACTCTGGAATAACTGACCACTTCATATCAAGGACAATCTATCAGTTGTGGTGCTCAATAAACATCTTAACAATGAAAATACCAGTAAAGCTCCAAACAAATCTACACTAGATTCAGACTCAAGTGTAGTTCTCTGGACCAACACTTATTTCACAACAAGAGGCCCAATTGCCTTAACGCTCACTTGAGTTACAATGCTTCTTGTAACATGTCACAGAAATGATTTTGTTAAAAAAAAGGCAGATAACTTTAACTACATTGTACATATAATGCAAATGTAAACATAACATTAAATGCTGTTCCACACTAAGGCTTCTAACCAAGTTTGAATTAAAAGAAATTAAGCTCAAAAACTGATTTTTTTTCTGTATAAAATCGTTTCTCCATGAACAGTAGAACATCCTTGAAATTTTAGTCAACTTGACTCATTTTTGGCCCCACCCATCCGCCCCTAGGGGTCAGTCAAGGTCAATATGTGCATCTTATCGAATTGTCAACTTACACTTCTAACCAAGTTTGATCTATTTCTAGGAAAATAAACAAATTATGCTCAAAACTTGTAAATTTCCTATACGAACTAAAGTCAATTTTACCCCCTGCCCAGTGGGAAATGTGAGACCCTAGGATTATAAAATTAATAATTCTTATTAAGCCTCTGAAAGCCTTTTCATCCATGAAGAGTACCTGATTCTACCATTGCTTGGATAAGAGAAGAAAATGTTTGAAGTTTCAATCTGTATGACACTTTTTGGTCCTGCCCCTGAGGCTCTGGGGGTTGGTAATGTATAATTTAGTCATGGCAGGTTTTTGCAAATTTTCATAAAAAAAATCGGTTCGGGAGTTTTCCAGAATGAGTTGAAAATGTTGAAAGTTTACAGTACACAACATCAGACAAGACGGGAATGCAAGTGTCCCAGTTGACCTAAAAATCTAATTAAATAAATCTCTTTGTTGCTTGTAGTTTCACTACAGAAGACAATTTCTTTTCTTTATTGACTTGTAATAGTCCAAGCAGATGTCAGTACATTTGTATAATACATAAATAAGATATAATGAATAATGTTGATCTTCTTTATTGGGGTAGTCTAGCCTTGAATGTTTGGGAAATTGCCAAAATTTTTGTCGCATTTCAAAATTTTATCATCAACAGTTCATGACTTGAATAAATAATTTATATATTTTTTAGAATCACTGATGTTATACAATACTATTGTTTGTCCCCTTTGTGCTAATGAAATTATACATATGCATATATTCTAAATATTTTCACTTCTTAAGTTAATAGTAAATTGTTGCATTGCCATCTCATATCCATTGTTGGTCGTTCTTATCAGCAATTTCTGTAAATGTTTGTCTTAAGTGTAGCATCTTACACAGAAGAAGAATAAACATAATTTCGAGCTTGCAGCAACTCATATTATTTACTTAAATTTAGATTTGAAATATAAAACTGAATTAAATAAAATATTGTCTAAAGATTATTCACAACTAGCCTTCCAGAGTTATGTCCCTTATCCAAAATCTCTTCCACCAAATCCAAAATATTTGCAACAGATAAATTCTGCTTAAAACATCTTCCAATGTGTTATACAAATACATTTTTTGGGTGGTTGGGTGGCACAGTGGAAATGCACTTGCCTTTCACCTGGTTTGATTCCCAGAACTGATGTGAAAAGGTAGTAGGTTCACCTGAGTGACAAAGTGGGTTTTCTGCAGGTGCTCTGGTTTTCTCTCATAGGAAGACCCCGCACGCTTACATCCGAGCCAACAAGAGTAACTAGTATAAGTTGCAATAACTTATTTCACATTTCTTGTAAAACAAATAAAGTATATATTATTATTTTCTTCAATTCAATATGTTTAAATCCAGTTATTCTATTGTAACAGTTTATTGAAAAGTAAGTTTAAATAACCCACTAATATCTATGTTGGGTTTGGTCTCTCAATAAAAGAATTTTTAAAATAAAAATACTACCAAATGAGACCTTTCCTCAGCTCCAGGGTGGAATTCATCCACTGACTGACATGTTCCAGACCCTTTAAATCTTGGAAGGGTTTATCATTATGCTCTCATTAAAAAAGTCACCTTTACTTTATTAGGTTCCCACATGTCTATCAATGATGTAGGCATATTTTCAATCTAATTATCTAGCATTTGTCTATCACAGACATAAATTGATCAACACATTGTTTTTAATTACCTGCCTTTCAGAATTTTATGATAAAAATTTTCTTACTATAAAACATTCAGGTCTTTAACGTATGTAACACTTTCACTTTTCCTAAAATTACTGGGTTGTATAATTACATGTAGTCCAGTGGGAAATTTTGTAGGAGACTAATGTAAAATCAACTTCCTTTACAATCTTTTGGATTACAATACAATTTATCAATTTTGATTTTACATGTTAAGTAAACAATGGAATGATTTTAAATGCCCATTCTTGGTTTCTTTTAATTTCTTGATATCATTAAAACCTTTTTTGTCAATATAATATTACATGCTCGGAAATAAATGAAAAAAAAACACACATATTCAACATGGCATGGCTTTTAGATGAACCTTGAATGTTCTTCCAATGGCAGTTAATCATTTCTAGTTTTAAAAACAACCATCAACATGGAATGGTCTCATAACTGTATGTTGTATGCTCTTCCAATGGCAGTTAGTCCTTTCTAGATAAAAAAAAAAAAAAACAATCAACATGGTATGGCCTTATACCAAAGTTGAACCTTATATGTTCTTCCAATGGCAGTTAGTTTTTCTAGTTTAAAAATCAATCAATTGAATTGCCTTGTAACTGAATGTCACAAATCTTCTAATGGCAGTTATTTCCAGTTTTAAAAGCAACCAATCAACATGGCCTGGCCTAATAGCTAAACCTTATATGTTCTTCCATTAGGTCACTTGTACTTAGGGATGTCACTAGTATAAAGGCAACCTAGTAAATGCCTGATTGTTTATCCATTTTTCTGTAAATTCCATTCTCACGTCAGGTTTCCTCTTCATCATCCTCCAGCATGTCTAGATATTCTTGAGCTTTAATTTTTCGAGGAATAATGTCTGAAAAAGAAATAAATAAAACAGGATTTATCAAAGTTATATTTCACTAATGCTACTGATTACCATGAAGTCTTGTGAACGATGTCACATCTAATTATTTTTTTCCCTTTTAAAGCAGAATTTGTTTGTTATTCTCCTTCCTTTGATTTTCTTGTTTCACCAATCTATTTGCTCTTTATCCTTCAAATCTTATGAAAACGTTTACTTTCACATTGAAATTGAGTTTATGCAGCTCAAAACTTTTCTTTACCAAATAAGGAAGAAAATGGACAGTAATCTGGGACCATATTTGAAACAAAAACCTTGAAATTTGATAAAACTGACTTTTGTTTTCGTCAGATACTAAACCTCAATGGAAATCCATCACCTTAAAATATGTCTGACTACTACCTGATCCATATGTATTGTGACAGGGGTCATTTTTCATCTCAATGTCTCTGCTAGGAATCGAACCCGGGACCCCTGGCTTACTAGTCTGATGCTCAACCAACCGGTTGGCCTAGTGTGACGGCTAAATATAGATTGACTCACCTTGACAGCGGTACGTGCACATGTCCCAAGATAAACAATAACACAGGCACTCGATAAGATAACTCACGACGTATCCATACAGACATATACGTGCTAAAATATTCCTAAAATAGACTACGTGACAGTATGTTTACCTTGTAGAAATTGAAGGACATCGTTTGTGTTGACTACCTCAGACAAATCACCGTAGTGTAACTGATTCTTATCTTTACTTCGGTCAAGTGACACCTGGGCAAGGTTTTGTACAAACAATTCCTGGAAGAAAAAGGATAAAACATACGATAAAGAATATTTCAGAACATTTTCATCAGGATGATGATGTCAATAGAATAGAAGTTCAGATTTGAGAGTGAACTTGAGTTGACAATCCAGAAATTAAAGTGAACAATGAATTCGGGGAAAGCCAAAAAAAGAAAGAAAAGAAAAAAATGATAAAACACTAAGGAAAAGAACAAGAGGTCTATAGAGCCTTTAAAAAGTAAAAACCGGTCCATCAACTGTTGTAGACGGACAGACGTTAAAAAAATCACGGGACTGTCTGATTTTCATAAAAAAATAAAACCATAGAGATTATGTATAAGTTACCGTTGCTTTGCCAGTGAGGAATAATGCTTCGTGACTGATGCTTGACACATCTGGTGAACTTTTCATGATCGTTCGGATTCTCGATAGAGGCAATGAGCTCTTTTCGTCTTTGTCCGCCATCGTTATCGGAAGTCAGTGTGGAGCGAATAAAAAAATAAATTTGAAATTATCTATAAAAAATGTTATTCTGATAGACAGTATCCTTTTTCAAATTTTTTACAATTGACAAGATCGCATTCATTTCAAGTAAACATAATCAGTAAAATTTATTTTCACCTCTGTGTTTCGTCCAATCATTGCGAGATACTCGGAAAGTTCGAGGAACTGGCCATGTGTGACTTCCTTTTCAAAGCCAGATTTGACGACACCGTGCCGGTACTTCTGCTCGAGGTAGATATCAAGTTGAATTGTGTATTTAAAACACTTAAATCACGCTATTTACTTTCTTGTCCATTATGTAACATCATAATCTTGAAGAATTTACATAAATGTGATTTGTTGAAATTTTTTTAAGTGAGCATCTTCATCAGTGCATACAGTATGACTTGATATTTATAACCTTGATAACTTAATTACATCCAATTTTGTCATTGGTTCGTGGTGGTCACATTGACATTAAATGATGTGTACTCCAACCTCTAGTCATAGCCAATAGGTAATTAACTCAACTAAACAAGTCTATGTTATACATTGGTCACGTTCTCATTGATTGCCATGGACGTGTGTAGATAGAACTGCCATTGGAATCGACAAAGATTCATTCACAAAATACTGTGTATTTATTGTCATTTTTATCTTGTTTTTTTTAGAATGGCTTGTCCATACATGCATGATTCAGTCTGGCTTCAGCAAAGGAAGTTTGAAGATGCTGAAGCATTTTACCAGAAAGTCCTGGTAGGATCAAGCACCACAGGAGCCCAGCAGGTTCATAATGCTACCCTTCTCTAAAATCTGATATATGACTAAACACCTGCCAGTTAAATATTTATTATGTTGGAAAAAGAATTCTGTTGTACATTTTGTATTTTTTTAATTGTACATGAGTTAGATAAATGCAATGTTTTCTCCCTAACAGACCCCACCCTCACTAAACATTCTTGCAGCAGTAATAGGACTTTGCAGACTTTATGATAATTAATTACAGGGACACTAAACAGGATGACTATTTCTGCTTCTATGGTGCACTAACAGAAAATCACTTTAATATGATTTGATCTGATTACAATTTTTGTGTTGGATCAATAATCAGAATCGGACCTCAAAGAAATATGAACTGTTAGCTCAGAAGAGCTCAAATTAATATTACAACATACATGTAAAAAGTATCACAGATATCAGATAGGAAATCCATAAAAAAGTGAATATTTTCTGAATCACAAACATGATGAACGAAATTATTTGAATTTGTCATAATTGGTTTCAGCCATAAAACTTATTCATGCCATCCCAAAAAAAAAAATGTCTGGATGATCATGTTAATTTCTTATATTTTCAGTACTTGTTGATGGAATCAGAAAATGTTTTATTCTTCATATTCTGTAAACAAGCATTTTGCCCATTTCTGATAATTAATGCCAGATGAAACTATTCATCTTTTGATAAAAACTCTTTCCAATGCTGCATGATGGGACAATTTCAATCTCACACTACCCAGTTTATGTTTTTTGAATATTGATGTCTTGTTCATTGTTGAAAATAGAAGTATTTCATTAACAGATTTGTTTGGAAGCTGCGTTTCATTAAGAAGCTCTGTATTTGGAGTAGTACAGTGATCCCATTTGTTACTGATTTCAATAATTTGAGCGTGTGAAAACTATTAATAAATATATACCAGGTTCCTTCCTTAATACATTTTGCTGTGAGTGCTTTGTTTCCTTACTAATATTTTGTAAACAATAATAATAATTAAACTAATTAATACCAGTAAAAGTCATAATCTTTCAGGATTGCATTAGGTAAATAGTGATTTATAATTGGTCTGTTCTTTCATTTTGACCTTTGATGTATATAGCAAGAATCTGTGAAAGGAGCTTTATATTTTCTAGAAGAATGAAAATTATAACACATGTCGGACTGTCCAGTAGATTGTATATGTACAGTATACATTTTCAGAGTCATACAAAAGTTCCTTCCGAAAGATTATTATTCTCTTCTAAAAAAATCGGAAATATTGTTTCAAGGGTCAAATGAAAGTCATGTTGTGGAGGGGAATTATTGCTGGTTGTGGTACTAATATACTGATATTTATAACTTGTGGTCATGGCAGACACTGTGATTATTTTGTGGCAGTGCTTCCTGTGTGTGGGAAAACTATTCCAATAATGAGAAGTGGGGGTTGATGGTGGTGAGAGGTTTTTGCACACAGATTTAAAACATCCTTATCGCAGCCATAGTTCTCTTTCTGGCACCATCCTTTTGTTACAAGAACACAAGACTCACATTGATTTCTGAAAGAGAACAGATGGGGTGGTCGGGTGGTGCAGTGGTAACACACTCGCCTTTTACTTAACCGTTCAGGGTTTGACTCCTAGAATGGACGTGAAAAGGTAAGGGTCACCTGCCGACCATAAGGGTTTTCTCTGGGTGCTCTGCTTTCCTTCCACAATAAGACCCCTCGCATGCTTACATCTGGGCCAACAAGAGTGATTAGTATAAGTTGATGTAACTTGTTTCGCAATTGTTGTAGAATAAGTAAATTTTATAGTTTTATAGTTGGGAGAGAACAGGTGTTGTATAGTTATTAAAGAACCAACACTTGTTAAATGGGAGAGTGTTTTGATCTTAGAAACCACATGTCTATCAAAATATTTGAAAATACACAAAATTACAACTGGCGAAAGTGACACAATTACAAACTATCAAGAAAAATTGGTAGCCAATTTACATTTATCAATTTCTTTCTTGTTCCAATTGTTAGGACCTAATTAGAAGTCTGTATGTATGTAATTGGTGCTACCTGTGAATGTGTTGGTTGACTACACCTGGTACAGGTGACTTGATTTTACTTTCTGGTAACAGATGTGATTGGGCAGGGAGGTATCGGATGATAATTAGCGAATAATTTGCATCCCACGGAACAACCCAGGAATGAAATATGGACACTTGCTTATTGTTATAGCTTAAAATTAATCCTTTGAAAAATCAATTATTTTGATAACTGATATACCATGTTGGAATGTTGGACAATATCATAATAGATGTTTTCTTTACTTACCAGGTAGTTTACTTGTCTATAGGGAACATTCTGTACATGGAAAAATTATCATGATAAGTGAGATATCATAATATCCGATGTTTTAATTAGTGGTATCCACTGTACGTAAATTATCATTAGAATATTGACATTGGTGAAACCTTCATTTAACTATCTAATTTGTGTCTGGAATAACTCGCCTATCTAATAGTTTTAATGATCATGAATATCTAAAATCTAACATTAAAAAAAAAGTCTAAAATTAAAGATATTGTGTTCTATTCTTGTGTTTCTTCTCAGAAACATGTGTTATTCCTGCAAGGTATCATTATTAAACATGGAAAGAAAACTTATTAGAGTGTTTAGTCACCCAGTTGTCCAGGGTTCAATTCATGCAATGGACATGAAAATATGGGATCACCTGCCCAACCATTTGGGTTTTTCCCAGGATTCTTTTTGTTGTTACAGTATGACCCCATGTGCACTTCCATCCGTGCCAACAAGAGTGGTTAATTTAAGTTGGAAAAACTTGTTTTTGTTATTTGGTGTAAAATAAATAAAGTTTATATGTATATACTTCAGTCATTGTGTTTGATATTAAGAATACATAATCAAATTTCAACTTCAGTGATTTTCTAAAAGATTTTATTGAAACCTCATTAAAAGTGGCTTGACAACAAATTACCACCGGTTGAGCCAAATGTAACGTTTGATTAAACCAGAAATGTTAGAATTGTTTTGTGCTTGTACAGTATTTATGATAACCAAGAAGCTGATTAATTATCTAAGAGAGACATTTTTGAAATATGCAGATATATTTTTTACTTTTACAAAGAGACAAATCGATATTTGAAGTTAGGACTTATTTTTCAATTTCTAGATACACACATTTCTTTATACGGAAAATTATCAACTCTACCTAGTACATTTGATGACTTTGCTATCAGATGGTCTTTCTTTTTAACACAAATCAGTAATTCAATAATTTTTTAAGTATAAATAGAATCCTTTAAACATTTTTTCCGAATCAATACCAAAAACAAAAGTTGTCAGTGATTTTGGTGAAAAAAGAATAAAAAAACTTTGATGTCATTCTCTGCAGTATGTTATGAAGTAAGAAAGCATCTGAAAGGTCTTTGGTAAATTGTCTGTTCTGTATTTGTAGGCAGGACCATCAGGCCAGAAAACTGAGACAAGCTCTATCAAAAACGAAATCGCTCAGGCACGACAACATATACAAAATGTTTTGAGATCTGTGAGTAATTTCTGAGTATACAATTTTTTGAATGTAGTTTCTTTTTCATATATAGTTCAATGTTGTGAAAGTAGAATTTTTGTTTTTTTTAGTGTTTTTTTATTATTTTTTTTCATTTTTTGCAATTTAGATTCCTCTGGTCAAATTGAAAAAAAAAAAATTTGATTGACTAAACGATTACACTCGCGAACCTTTTTTCCAATTTTTTCTTTCAGTGTATGTGTTGTGACTAAAAACTGCTTTGTGTTGCCTAAAAATGCTATATATGAATCTCCTTATCACTGTCTATTGTCTCTAGGCAAATTGCTTTCAAAGGAAAAGTTTGATTTCCTTTCAGTCAATCAAACTCTAATTCATTTGAAAGTCCTAATAAATCCTTGATATATCTTATGTCAATTGTTGAATATTATAATAAACATTCTAAAATGTCGAAGTGGAGTTTTTTTGTAATAACTTACATGTAATATATATCATTGGTTGCCTTGTTGCTGCATTTTGCTAAAACAACCAGAACACTATAAACTGATTTTTCTGTATTTTTATTATCACTTCTCACTATCTTAGTCACTTACACTGTACCTGTATATGAATATTTCTGGTTCCTGGATAGGGACTTTGCCACAGATCAGATCTTCATTCAGTTACCGTCACAGATCATATCTTCATTCAGTTACTAGGCACCTCTTAATTTACCTTCTTGAATGCGATTTAAACATTTACACTTAAAAATATTGTCTATATGTCTTTCCTTTGTTCTCGCAAAATATACACATTATAACTCTTATATTACTAATAACATGTTACTTGGGATAAGCAAATTGGACGGAAAGGAACAAAAACTAAATTGAGATTTAGGGTAATACTCTTAAATACACATGTTATGACAAGACAAGGTCAGTTTTTTATTTTATTTGATTCACTAACTTAAAATGTAAAACAAATATCAAAACCTCAACATGAAATAAAATTCTAGTTTTTTATGTTCCTTATACATCTTGATTATGACTGAGTAATGATTTTTGAAAGTTTGTTGCAATAGAAATAACATTGTTTACTTTTTAAATGTTCTCTAATTGGTCATAAAGGATTCTGCTCTTCATGTCAAATCAGCTCACAGGTACTAGAGAGTTATGGCCCTTTATTTAGTGAGTGACTGTCAAATTTTTCCAGGAAAACATGTCACTGCACCTGTGCATACTTTATGTGTGAGTACTCCTGGGATAACCTGATATCTGGGTCTCTTACACTCCACTGCATTCAAAATGATTGCCTTTTTCTGTTTTTTTTTTTTTTTTTTTCAAAAAGTGATGCCACAGCTAAGTTGCATGACTAATCAGCTTGCAATACTTTTGCATTTTTTCATTCTGTTTTTAGCTTCATACTTCTGCTTCATTGGTACATTATATATTTTTTGTGCACATGAATGTTTCTTTGTATTATTGTATAGAATTAAATACTGTATATCAGTGAGTTTTGAAACTCCGATATTCGAGTCCTACACTCATGCTTTTCCTGAGGGACTCGCTCAAATTTCCAGACCCCTCTATATCTCTTAGTATTGGGACTCGTCAAAATTTAGGGATTAGTGTTATGGACATGCCGTTACAAATCCTACTTTAGTTACTGTATATATAGTATGGAATTGATGACTGTGTCTGAATATTGAAAAAGCAAGTTAAGATAAAATTAGAATTCAATATTGACTGTTCAATGCCAAAACTGTACAGAATATTTTCCAGACAGACTATCTCTCAACATGTGACTAAACAATGTGCAAAATGTGATACTTAAAATTCCATGTGAAAAAATGATTTTTTGAAGATCATTCCCTTCAAAATCTATGTGTAGTCGATTTCATTCATATCCAAAACAAAAAATGTTGAATTTCCATAACAGTTAATTAACACAGAAATTTCAAACAGTGGGTAAAATTTGTATATAAGTAATCTAAAATTTGATATACAGGATGCTAGGTAGCATTAATACAGTGATTACACTTTGAGCGAAGACATCCTCTTTAAAACCATTTCATTATTTTCTAATGATATTGCATGTTTTGATAAACTGATGTCTGATTGTGGCATGAAAATGTTTTGTCTGTACAAGGTATAAGACCATAGGGTGTTATTTTCAATGTTTCAGATTTTTCACAAGTTTACATAAAGCTTGAAAGGGAAACTGACATATTTATGAAAGTCATGAAACAGCCTGTGGCTTGCTATAAGTTTGATTTGAATATCAAGGTACATTATTTTGTCACATAATCTGTTTAATGTTAAACACCCAGGAACATTTGTCTTTGACATTGGTAACATCAATCAGAAATAAGTTGTCATTACTGACAATGATGTTACACCATGAATTGACAATGGTGCAACAAAATGGCTGCCTTCATTTGATTTTGTCCTTCACATTTTTACTTTAAGACAAAATACACCTTTTCTAAAACTAGTATTGAAGTTTAAATTTCGGCTCGCCAAGGCTCCCAAAAATATTTTCTTAGACATGATTCATAAAGTTTTATAGGAAATGAAAACTCATTTATGATTATATATGTGTCTGTTTTGGTTTTCATACCTTCCTCGAAAATATCTACGTTTAAAAGTATATTGAGTATACTATGCTTGTTAGATTCTGAGTATACTGTTTAACAGGAAGCTAGGTAATATTTCTAAATGTATGTCAAAATGTTTTTCATGTATATATATATAAATGTTTTTCATATATATATAAATGTTTTTCATAGTTAACTAAAACAGTAAAGTCTGTTAATGGGAGATAATAGTAGAAATATAAAGCAGAAAATACCTGGAAACATATACACAGCTATAGTTTTGACTGCGTGATGTGTTCTTTTTGATCCAACTGGTGTTGTATTGCCAATTATATAATGTGGTGATGATGTGATGACAGGAAATCTGAATCAGGGGACAACTGACCATTTTCTACGCTCGTCACTTCTGTACATGCATTTATTTTACTGTACTGTTCCAGTATCTTGTTATAGCTGAATATTTACCCTGCAGGAAAAAATATGATGTCATTGATGACATCACAATGATCATTCAACCTGGACTTTTGTAAATTATTGTAAGAAGTCATGTCTGATCTTGAAACAAGTGTTTGTACAATCAAAAGAATATTCAGATTACAGTATATCAATTAACTAATTGGTGCCTTGGTCACATGACATATACAGCTAGATCACATGACATTTACGGATTATAAACTTGAGGCAGAAGCCATATATGTCATGTGACCTTGGCTTGAATACTTAAGGCAGAAATATGAGGGGGATGCAGGTTGCCCCCTCATGTTGCCAGAACACTGATGTTAGTTTGTGAGACGATACCCAGCAACAAGAATAGTCACAGGGACCGAAAACCTGTCATCCAACTGACCAAATTAAGGCAGAAATGAAAGTCATCACATCTGTCAGCCATAGTAAAGAATTAACCAACATATGGTACAAGTATGTTAAAAACAGAATATACAACTCATTTGATTTAAGAACATTTGAGAGATGTATACTAATGGCTAATGTTCCTTTGAATATATTCCACATGAAGCAGGATAATTCATCATTTCTGAACTAACACAACTTACATTGTTTTAACCCACCATCAATTCCTCTCAGCACTAACTCAAAATATTGCATAATACTGACAAATTATTAATTTTCATAGGGGATTCATTTTCGTTGGTTTTATAGCTACTTTGAGTAAAAAAATTCTGATGTCCACTTACTGTTAATATTTATGTTCTAAGGAGATTTAGTGAGCTATGTTTATCCACAAAATCAAACACTAAATGAGAGTAGTAATTTAAAAAAAAAAAAAAACTTGAAAATTGAATCCCATAGAAATATAGGGCTTGTAGTATCATTAACACCTTTTCTTTAACTTACAGTGTTATCCATCTCCATCCATCATGGTTGAATTCCGAATCATTGTCATATGTTGAGATTCATATTTACCCGATATTACCATAATATGTATAGTTTGATCCTTTCTCAGATGGTGTTGGAGATCATTGCATGTTGTGGTATAAGTGAGAAAATTCATCTTCTGTAATTGACCAATAGTTCTCCCACAGGTTTTGATAAAATGCAATGTTAACCTGAAACTGGTGAATTCTTGCACACAAAATTATCATCGCAAATTAATAATCTAGATTCAAAATGGTAGCAGGGAGATTTTCATGATGTGAGGTTGTCATCACAAATTGGTAACCTAGACAAAAATAGTAACAAGGGGATCTTCATGATGTGAGGTTGTCATCACAAATTGGTAACCTAGACAAAAATAGTAACAAGGGAATCTTCATGATGTGAGGTTGTCATCACAAATTGGTAACCTAGACAAAAATAGTAACAAGGGAATCTTTATGATGTGAGGTTGTCATCACAAATTGGTAACCTAGTCTAAAAATAGTAACAAGGGGATTTTCATGATGTAAAGTTGTCATCACAAATTGGTAACCTAGACAAAAATAGTAACAAGGGAATCTTTATGATGTGAGGTTGTCATCACAAATTGGTAACCTAGTCTAAAAATAGTAACAAGGGGATTTTCATGATGTAAAGTTGTCATCACAAATTGGTAACCTAGTCTAAAAATAGTAACAAGGGGAATTTTCATGATGTGAGGTTGTCATCACAAATTGGTAACCTAGACAAAAATAGTAACAAGGGAATCTTCATGATGTGAGGTTGTCATCACAAATTGGTAACCTAGACAAAAATAGTAACAAGGGAATCTTCATGATGTAAGGTTGTCATCACAAATTGGTAACCTAGTCAAAAATAGTAACAAGGGGATCTTCATGATGTGAGGTTGTCATCACAAATTGGTAACCTAGTCTAAAAATAGTAACAAGGGGAATTTTCATGATGTGAGGTTGTCATCACAAATTGGTAACCTAGATGAAAAATAAGCTTATTTGTGATCTATATGGGCATCTTTAATGCTGTGTCAAATAGCAAAATGGTGATTGACACTTTTTTCTGGTTAATAAAAGGATTTTTTTAAGCACCTTATCAAGTTTTTCAAATACAGAAGTTAATTATAAACATGTTTACACTATAATTTTAATATACCTGTGTTAAAATTACTTTGTGTCAACCATTTTAGTTTACAGCACTATTAAACAAGCCTTTGTTGACAAGCACCTTCTCACTTTAGGGTGGATGTTCTGGAGCCGCAGCATCATCTGGTGGCGGGGATGCTACAGCAAGGATTGAAAACCTGGAAAAGGAAAACAAGGAACTCCGTAATGGTAGGTGTCTTTTAGCTGTGGTTACCACTCCACCGGCCAGAAATAGTCACACTGCTGGTTAGGATGAAATATCTCTTTCTTACTCTAGCAAGACGGCCTGCACACACAGAAAGCGACAATTTGGGTTAGTGTAATTGTTAATGATGTCATTTTATAATATGTCAGGTCAGTTGGGGTTATTGAGGAGATTCCTGACAGTTATACCCGCGACAAAGCCTCGGGTTTGACAATCCAGAATCTCCCTCTCAGAATGGGATTTCTATGACCTACACACCAGCTAGGGAAAGATCCATGTTATTCTCCATGATAGAAGGTGTCTTTTAGTGGTAAATCATATTGTCTAGTGGTGTTAGGTTTCCTGTGAATCATATTGTCTCTGTGATGTTAGGTTTCCTGTGAATGATATCATCTCCATAATGGAAGGTGTCTTGTGAATGATATCGTCTCCATAATGGAAGGTGTCATGTGAATCCTATTGTCTCCATAATGGAAGGTGTCTTGTGATTCCTATTGTCTCCATAATGGAAGGTGTCTTGTGAATCCTATTGTCTCCATAATGGAAGGTGTCTTGTGAGTCCTATTGTCTCCATAATGGAAGGTGTCTTGTGAATCCTATTGTCTCCATAATGGAAGGTGTCTTGTGAATCCTATTGTCTCCATAATGGAAGGCGTCTTGTGAATCCTATTGTCTCCATAATGGAATATGTCTTGTGAGTCCTGTTGTCTCCATAATGGAATATGTCTTGTGAATCCTATTGTCTCCATAATGGAAGGTGTCTTGTGAATTCTATCGTCTTCAAAAGGGAAGGTGTCTTGTGAGTCCTATTGTCTCCATAATGGAAGGTGTCTTGTGAATCCTATTGTCTCCATAATGGAAGGTGTCTTGTGAGTCCTATTGTCTCATAATGGAAGGTGTCTTGTGAATCCTATCGTCTTCAAAATGGAAGGTGTCTTGTGAGTCCTATTGTGATTTGTAACATCTGTGTATCATTAGGTGTCCTATGAATCACTGTTTTGCCATGGTGATAGGTGTCCTGTAAGTCAGTGTTTTGCCATGATGATAGGTGTCCTGTGAGTCACTGTTTTGCCATGATGATAGGTGTCCTGTGAGTCAGTGTTTTGCCATGATGATAGGTGTCCTGTGAGTCAGTGTTTTGCCATGATGATAGGTGTCCTGTGAGTCACTGTTTTGCCATGATGATAGGTGTCCTGTGAGTCACTGTTTTGCCATGATGATAGGTGTCCTGTATATCACTGTTTTGCCATGATGATAGGTGTCCTGTATATCACTGTTTTGCCATGATGATAGGTTTCCTGTGAGTCACTGTTTTGCCATGATGATAGGTGGCCTGTGAATCACTGTTTTGCCATGATGATAGGTGTCCTGTATATCACTGTTTTGCCATGATGATAGGTGTCCTGTGAGTCAGTGTTTTGCCATGATGATAGGTGTCCTGTGAGTCAGTGTTTTGCCATGATGATAGGTGTCCTGTGAGACAGTGTTTTGCCATGATGATACTGTTTTGCCATGATGATAGGTGTCCTGTGAGTCACTGTTTTGCCATGATGATAGGTGTCCTGTGAGTCACTGTTTTGCCATGATGATAGGTGTCCTGTGAGTCAGTGTTTTGCCATGATGATAGGTGTCCTGTGAGTCACTGTTTTGCCATGATGATAGGTGGCCTGTGAGTCACTGTTTTGCCATGATGATAGATGTCCTGTGAGTCACTGTTTTGCCATGATGATAGGTGTCCTGTGAGTCAGTGTTTTGCCATGATGATAGGTGTCCTGTGAGTCAGTGTTTTGCCATGATGATAGGTGTCCTGTGAGTCAGTGTTTTGCCATGATGATAGGTGTCCTGTGAGTCAGTGTTTTGCCATGATGATAGGTGGCCTGTGAGTCACTGTTTTGCCATGATGATAGGTGTCCTGTGAGTCAGTGTTTTGCCATGATGATAGGTGTCCTGTGAGTCACTGTTTTGCCATGATGATAGGTGTCCTGTGAGTCACTGTTTTGCCATGATGATAGGTGTCCTGTGAGTCAGTGTTTTGCCATGATGATAGGTGTCCTGTGAGTCAGTGTTTTGCCATGATGATAGGTGGCCTGTGAGTCAGTGTTTTGCCATGATGATAGGTGTCCTGTGAGACAGTGTTTTGCCATGATGATAGGTGGCCTGTGAGTCACTGTTTTGCCATGATGATAGGTGTCCTGTGAGTCAGTGTTTTGCCATGATGATAGGTGTCCTGTGAGTCACTGTTTTGCCATGATGATAGGTGTCCTGTGAGTCACTGTTTTGCCATGATGATAGGTGTCCTGTGAGTCAGTGTTTTGCCATGATGATAGGTGTCCTGTATATCACTGTTTTGCCATGATAATAGGTGTCCTGTATATCACTGTTTTGCCATGATGATAGGTGGCCTGTGAGTCAGTGTTTTGCCAGATGATAGGTGTCCTGTGAGTCACTGTTTTGCCATGATGATAGGTGGCCTGTATGTCATCATATTTCCACTTTTCCTTCATTTGTATTTGTTGATTATGTTAAATATTCACTTAAATGGAGATTTTAACCACAGATCTTATAAAACTCTGTTTTGTGTTTACATGTATATATTGACAACCAGTACTGTCATCATCTCTTTAACTTTAACCACAATTATCATTATATAACCAGTACTGTGATCATCTCTTTAACTTTAACCACAATTATCATTATATAACCAGTACTGTCATCATCTCTTTAACTTTAACCACAATTATCATTATATAACCAGTACTGTCATCATCTCTTTAACTTTAACCACAATTATCATTATATAACCAATTCTGTGATCATCTCTTTAACTTTAACCACAATTATCATTATATAACCAATTCTGTGATCATCTCTTTAACTTTAACCACAATTATCATTATATATAACCAATATCATTATATGTGATCATCATCTCTTTAACTTTAACCAACAATATATAACCATTATATAACCAGTACATTATATGTGATCATCTCTTTTTGATATCTTCTAATATATCAGAAACCAGTAATGTCATGACATTTCTGTTTACAATAACCAGTAATTACATCTCATATAACCAGTGTTGTCTTAATCTCGTTGACATTAACCAATCATGTTGACATATTCTGACCAGTAATGTCAGTATCTCCTGACATTAACCAGTACTGTCAGTATCTCTTGACATTAACCAGTAATGTCAGTATCTCTTGACATTAACCAGTAATGTCAGTATCTCTTGACATTAACCAGTAATGTCAGTATCTTGTCAGTATCTCTTGACATTAACCAGTAATGTCAGTATCTTGACATTCACCAGTAATATCAGTATCTTGACATTAACCAGTGTTGTCAGTATCTCTTGACATTAACCAGTACTGTTGACATTTCTTGACATTAACCAGTTTTGTCATCATCCTTATGACATTAGCTGGTGCTATCATCATCTTTTGACATTAAACAGTATTGTTATCATCTCGGGGTGTTACTCTGTTCTTTCATTAGTTTTTGACATTGTCCTGTATTGTTATCTTAACAGCTGTAGATGAAATGAAATCCCTTGTCCAGAAGTTGGAAGGACGTGTTAAGATCCTGGAAGGTGGATCAAGTGCTCCTGCTGCTTCAGCTGCTCCCTCTGCAGCCACTGCAGTGGCCCCAGCTGCTGCTTCAGCTGCTGCAGATGATGATGATAGTGACAGTGATGTTGACTTGTTCGGCAGTGAGGATGAGGAGGAAGTATGTGTATCAGTGTTGAAAGTTTTCAATTGGCCTTAAAGGGTCGGTAACTTGAGGAATGCACCTGATATGTGCGAATTTGATATAAAAAGTTTCAAATTTCATAAATTTTTTGAAATGTTAAAAAGTTGAGTATACAAGGTTCAGACACATTATTCTAGTTTATGCTGCAACTGTAGAGAACTTAATGATGACTCACCAGCAGCTGAACATCAGCCTATTATTTGATGAAAAAATCTTTCACTACTTCTTTCAATTTATAGGTAGCAGAGCGTGAAAGAGTCAAACAGGAAAGAGTAAAGGCTTACCAAGAAAAAAAGGCTAAAAGTAAGTTTACATTTCATTGTCTTGTCTTCATTTTGGAGATTCCATTTATTAGATGTCCTTATTAACCCCTCTCCCTAACACTTAATATTGTGACAGACCACAATAAGAAAATGGTTGACTGAGCCATTTTGGATTCTACAAATTAAAAGTTTGATATTGTTATAGGTGGATGTTTCTCAAGCTCTTTAGGTGGGTTTCCCTCTAGTGGTGCCATACAAGTTTTTTGACATGCCAGAAAAATATGGAAGATGGACAGGAATTTCTTAAGCAGTTCTGGATAGATTCTCATATGAAAACTTCCTGGGGTCCTTAAATATACATGTTTGATTTTTAGACTTTAGACTTTTAGACATTTAAAGTTATTACATTTTCTTTCACAAAGGACTTGAGGGATTGTTTTTTTTAATCTATCTTCAGGTGCCCCTCTGTCCATCTGTGTGATCAAGGTGGATAATTTAAAAAAAAAAATATATATATATAGGTTTCCCTTGTAAATTGGTTATATTACATATCAATACAGCAAAAGGAGGCATAAAGATAAAACTTTTAAGAAAAAGGAGAGATCATATGTAGATGGGTGCCAATGTGGGATCTATTGTTAGTCTGTTACAACTACAGCTACATCGCTTGTGGTTGAATGGAGTCATTACCTGTTAATATAACAATGATGTGATATATCTGGCCATATGCTAGTTGGATTGACACTTTTCATAAATGCTGCTTTTATGTTATCATATCAAAAACTGATGTAAAGATTTCTGTTTTTTGTAGAACCTGCCCTCGTAGCAAAATCTAGTGTTATTTTAGATGTAAAACCTTATGATGATGAAACTGATATGAAGGCAGTGGAAGATTCACTGAGGTTGATAAAACAGGATGGTTTAGTCTGGGGTGCAGGTAAGTACATATACTGTCATCATGGACAGAAATAGGCATAAGTAGAAAGATCGGTGTGGTAAGACATATCGAATGTGTAGCCAGATAGATAGGGGGTGTGGTCAGATAGATACTGGGTGTGGTTAGACATATCAAATGTGTAGCCAGATAGATAGGGGGTGTGGTCAGACATATCGAATGTGTAACCAGATAGATAGGGGGTGTGGTCAGACATATCGTATGTGTAACTAGATAGATAGGGGGTGTTGTCATAGAAATCAAGTGTGTAGTCAGATAGATAGGGGGTGTGGTCAGACAAATTGTGTGTGGTCAGAAAGATAGGGGGTGTGGTCAGACAAATCAAGTTTGGTCAGATAGATAGAGGGTGTGGTGAGATAGATAGGGGGTGTTGTCATAGAAATCAAGTGTGTAGTCAGATAGGGGGTGTGGTCAGAAAGATAGGGGGTGTGGTCAGACAAATTGTGTGTGGTCAGAAAGATAGGGGTGTGGTCAGACAAATCAAGTGTAAGGTCAGATAGATAGAGGGTGTGGTGAGATAGATAGGGGGTGTGGTCAGACAAATCAAATGAGTGGTCTGAAAATCAGGATTTTGGTTAGAGAAATGGGAATGTGATCAAGAAAAATAGAGGTGTATTCAGAGATGTGGTGATAGTGAGAGAATTAGGGAGTGTGGCCTGAGAAACTTCATTTGTGTACTTGTTTTAATTGCATAAGAAAAATTATATTTCTTATTGAAAACAGGGAAAGTTTTTCTCATTTCTTAAATAATTTTCATTTTCGGCGAAATATAGCAGATTTTTTTAAGCGTACATTGTAAAAATATGCTTTGACAATGTAGTAAGTAATGAAATAAATAATTGGAATGAAGATTTTAAACCTTAGTAATCTTAGAATATTTTTGTCAATCCTCATATCAATTGTATAAGAAAACAAAATTCAGAATGGAAACTTGGAGATTTAAGGATTGCTGTTTTAGATGAAAGTAAGAGATGTTTTAAATATTCATGAATGTTTTTCTTGCAGCAAAACTAGTTCCTTTGGCTTATGGAATAAAGAAACTACAAATTGGTATAGTTATTGAGGACGCTAAAGTCTCAGTAGAGGAATTGTCAGAAAAAATTACAGAGGACTATGAAGATCTGGTAACATATTTCTCAAACATACTGTCTAAGATTTTATTCAATGTCAAAGTTGTTTGTTCTACAATCTGTATATCATGTCCATTTCTATAGCTCGTTTCATCATATTTGATGTGACACATTGATAATAAACTTTTATTTTAAACATTTCTACATACCTATATTACACACTCATTTCACCACATTGAACCCAAATTAAATAACGTGAACTTTAACAGTTATTTTGAAAAATAAATTAATTCAAATTTTGACTTTTCTGAAACTTAATTTTGTAAAGTCTAAATTTAAAAGGGAAACATTTGATAGTTCAGCTGAATGAAGTCAGAATTTAAACAAGGGATAGACCTGATTGTTTTTAGTTTGATACAGTTTAACACTTGTACTCTGTTTCTTATAGGTTCAAAGTGTGGACATTGCTGCTTTCAACAAACTGTGAGGAGGTCTGGTGTCAGAGGCTGGAAATGTTCAGTGAAAGACAATAAATGAAATTAGTGCTAATTTCTCTGTTCTGTTATTGATTTAAAAGAGATTGATGAGAAGGCGTACAAGTACAACAGCACCTTTTAAGGCAACATTAGAATTATAGAAAAACTTTGACGTTTTGATGTCCAAGGGACTTCCAAAACAACTGTGATACATCCAGACTTTGAATCGTTCTTGGTGAGTTATATGGACGTTTTCACGTTCATGGCTATGTATAGTTAATGACACAATATTTCTACTTGATTCAATACAACAAATACCAAAACACAAGTTTAAACGAAAAGATGCATTTTTATCTTAAAACATAACATTTTCATTCATGAAAAAATGATAACTTTAGAAATCAACGAGAAATTGATAATACATGTTTACTTTAGATTCGTGCCTTCAAATCACACAGTATATACATTTTACGGATCAATTTTAAATGAAACAACGCGCAGCATTAAATTGGTCTTCGCGTGTTGCAGTAATTATTTTAAGACTGATACGTAACCGTCATAATGACTAATGAATTTAAAAGAAAGCAAATTAATATCATAATGTACTAACATCACACATCTTAAGTCGTAGAAATTACAAGAGTGTGGCTAGTCTAATTCAATCGAAGAACACGTGACTGACAGGGTGCTTTGCATGATTTTATGCATAAAACTGAAAAGTGGCGCTTCGGGAATGAGTGAAATTATTTAATAGGATAATAGTGAACGCAGACATTTCTGCCTCTGTATTCACATCAATACAATGTATTAATATAAACATAATATTAGACTAGATAGAAGACGCTGTATGATCGTACTTCAGTTCAAGATCTTTCCAGAAATCGTCTAGGTGTTTTTTTCAAAATCATGAACGTAAAGTGATGAAATTACCCATTGAGGGAGACTATTCCAAGTATCAATTATTCTGTGAGTAAAATAATGTTTTCTGACATTCAAATGACAATGTTTTTTTTAATAATTTTTTACTCCGTCCACGAGTTTTTCCTTGCGCTGCAGGGTCGAACAAGTGATAGGATTTCCTCCAATTGTTTTCGACGTTCCGTAAATTAGACCTAACTAAATGCTATTACCGCAATGGCGGCGTGAACATCGCGCGATATTTCATAATCTTTTATTAAATATCATTGCTGGTAAGTAAGCAATTAAATTTTGATCCGTGTCCAGTCATTAATGATCCTCGTAACACAGAACAAATGATAACGGGCTGTTGTAATCTCATTGTCAGGTAGCGCGCTTCATGGAAAAGTGTGAAATTTTGCTGCTGGGCGAAAATACCTGTACAATACAGGTAAATGCTTTGTTCCAATCATGAGGTGTCAAGGACTGTTCTGCCATAGCTTACGGTCGTGAAATAACCTTTGAAGATACATCGAAAAGTTCAATGTATGAAATGTCGATTCATAAGGGGTTAAGTTAATAGTAATATATAAGAATAAAATTCGGGACTGGACAAAAACTTTAAATACGATAAATCGAGAAGTTTGATTCATAGAAGTTTGACTAGTTACAGTGGACTTAAATAAACTGCATGATACAGCTATTTCGTCCTTTTAGGACTCGTCAGTTTTAAATCGCTAAACTTATGAGGCAAGCGAGAAAAATCTAAAATGGTTAAAAATTATCAAGACACATTAAGACATTCACTAATTCCAGAATTCAATAAAATGTCATAGAACATCAGATACATTTGTATTATCTGAGCCGTGCCTCAAATCAACTGAAATAAAACCTGACATGCAATCATTTACAGCAATCCTGTCGACTTTAGTTTACAATCTGTGTCTGCCACATCTGTGTTCTGAAAAATTGTATAAAAAATACACAAGCATATAGCGTCTTTAAAAAAATCAAAAGCGGACACTTATAAAAAAAATTAACTGCGTCGTTCAGCCGATAAAAGAAGTCTTCACAGTGACAAAATTGAAAACCAAAGCAATAAGTTACAGTTCTGAATACATTGGGAACAGGAGACAAAAACGTGATGGATTTTGAGAAAGAACATGTTCTTTTTACATTAAGCAAACTTTTCTAGAAGTCAAAAATACAGCTTCCTATTGGAGTCCATTCGTGTGCTATAGAACATCTTCAAAGAGTATATAATTAATTACCAAAAAATATAATTAGGAGTTGTGTACAAAGTGATTAACATTAACTGACAATATTGGTCTGTACTTTTTAAGGAAGAACCAGCAAACAGGAAAATGTATTTTGGATTGAAGTATGTAAAGTGAACTGAAATAAAATGTTTACACTTTGTTTTATTAGCACAAAGGGACTATCACCTACACTAATAACCCACTTAAGTGAAATTTCAACCATTTCAAAATGGCCGTCATGTTTAGTGATAACCACAAAAAATTAATGTTCTTATAATTGCTGAATCAACATTCGAACAGGAATGCTAAATGATAGATTTACATTGAACCACCTAATCTGGAATCCAACAAGGCTTCTTCGTCCTAGAATCTGATTGGCTATGTCAGTGTTGGTATACATCGTACGGTAACGTAGTTCTAATTGTCCAAGTCGACCATACCTAATGCCTTGACATAGCGGTTGATAGCGAAAACTACATTACTTAAGGTTTGCCTCTTAAACTTTTTGACTTTTGTATATAATTGCTTACCAGTTTCCAAATGTATTTAGTATGATAATTGATACAGGATACTGGCTGCTTGGCACATACCCCCATGGTTCTCTGTCCAGTAAAGCACTGGCAATGATAATCCTTTATGGGGTTAATAGCGTCAGAGCAGTCAAATTGGATCCAAACATAGTGCTTTACATTGCTCTTACGCCTCGAGTGGATCTGACATCATACAATGTCTCGCGAGTGCTGATAGATCCAGATCTCGCTATCATCATCACTGAGGTGCTCACTTATGTAGCCAGCTGCCAATGATATTTTGTATGTATCAGGATATTGACGGATGGTTTTCCATGTCTAACCGGAAAGTCACAATTATCCACAGTAGAATTTAGTTTGACAAATTGTGACTTGATCTTCCTGGTGAGATATGGCTTATTTGTCACACGCTGAGTTGTAATGAACACGAAGGCGCTTTTTCATTTTGGCAGCCAGGGCCCTATTCTTTGCATTTCGCTCTTGTGTTCTAACATATATGGGTCCTCAGATTTAATCGAGCCAGATTGTTACTATAAATAGTGCTTCGATACCACAAATGGAATAGTTTGAGGCAAGTTGTGTTTTGAAAAACAGCGATTGCTTGAATCGTCCTTGATATGACTCTACTACCCACCTGGATTTAGTTATGATCTTTTCAATGTTAGTTTGTAGGTCGTCATGTTGATTGCTCAGGTATTAGATAAGACGGCATAATTGTTGTCAAACCACGTGATTCCAAATCTGGCAAAACATCCCTAAACCCTCTATCAGCAAGACGTCATCTTTCGCCAGTCAAGAGGGGCTATCCATGATAGCTTTTGTAATCTTCGCATTATTATCGCTTCCAGGAAAAGGACCTACTGTGTCCAGAATGTAACCATCAGGCAAAGCTATGTTCATGAACTTCAAATATTTCTTATTCTTCTGGCCACAATAGGAGATTCTGGAGCATGTGATCAGAACTCTTAGGGATAAAGATATATGTACCGGCAGGTAAGACAGTCGCCCGCTGGCCAAGAAATGCTTCTGAGAACACATTGTTATGCTCCAGAATATTTTCTCTTGTAAGGGGTCAACGTCCAAGGAACACAATGGTTATTTCTAATGGTTTTACTGTGGAAAGAAATGTTTTCGATATACTGGAAATTGACATGTCAATCGGGGATAAACAATGAGAACGAAGTTTTAGAAACTGTCTTCTTGTCCAATCAGTCGAGGCTTTACAGAGGAGAAACGCAGAGTAAAAGAAGACCCATACTTTGATATATTTATTATCTCCAAAAGATCATTGATGTCTATTGATCTGGAAGGTCGCTGGGAGGGCAACATTTCTCTTGTATCATTCCGGATGTCAACGTTAGGGCTATGATCTTTCCTTACGAGGCGATGTGAACAAATAAGTGAGGACCTAGGACACCAAAGCTTGAAAGCTGAGTTCGTGTTTTGCGCGCTTGGGCACACACCAATCTCTTGATCATCAGTAAAGGTATGGCCATCTGCTTTTAAAACATCGATCGACCAATTATGCGAGGGAAGTCTTAAATTTCTAGCAGATTTCTTGGTTTCAATGTCTCTCCTGAAGACAAGTTTACAATCCGCACATACACATATACCTCTCATTGTGGGAATGACACTGTAGTATGAATTTAAAGTCTCCGTCTAAGTAGGAATTGCAGAAAGTAATGTCAAAAGAACAATTGATGTTAGGAGTATATGTGGTATGTAATATATTGTTGGAAGGTTTGTATAGTAATTATCAGTCATATAAGATAGTGTATCTAACGTCCTAATTATAATTGACAGATATAGTCATTCAAGGACATGTCGGAATTATTTGTATGTGTGCAAGGGGTTGTTATATATTGGGAAAGTCTCATGTGTACTAGAAGGTTTAGAGAGTAACAGGATTGTCTCCTATGTCCACCATTGTTCAACAAGTCATTGGGGTGATACACATCAAAGCCATAAAATCAACACTTTGCACAAACCGTGAGGCTTCGATCTTTGGGCAGGGTTAAGGTAAGAGATAAAGCTATCTATATGCTAAATAATGTGGAATGGACTGAATATAGAAGACATTCAAAATGTCGTTTGTTGCTTAAAAATTAACAATATCGGCGCTATACTTACTGTTCTAGTATTTTTGGTATTTAGTTTATGGTTCGAACTTTCCTATTTCCTTAAAATAATTAATTATTTTTGTCTGTGTTGTGACAATCGGCGTTCATAGTTTAGTAATTTAGTTACGTAATTAGTTAATTAGGCAAGTGTGTCATCAATTGAATTGGATTAAATGTAAAGCCAAGGGAAACAACCTTGATGGCACAAAGCAATGTATCGGTGAGGGATCTGGAAAGGTAAACAAATCTTTAGGCCGACCTCTTTGG